CGTGCACATGTCTTGGCTCTCTCGCAGCATTCTGGAGAGAGCCTGAACAAAGATCTGTGGTTTCATGTCAACACAAATGTATTCATGAGACAAACTCTGCAGCATGTTCAACACTGAGCTTATTTGTACAGTCCTGATTCCAGCACTCGTACAGCTTTGGTTTGCCTGAGAGAAAATATGAAGTTATAATATCTGCAAAAGGAATCCCTCAGATGTGAGAAGATGCATGCGTATTTCTTGGTGTAGAGGAGGAGGTCCAGACCCAGGGTTTAAGGTAATAGACATATCAGAGGACTCAGAAGGGTATTTAGGGCCTGGTAGGACACCAGGAAATTTACCTTCCTTGCAAGGAATGTGCAAGTTCCATCTTTCTTCTCTGTTTCTGCAGAGGGTCCTGTTGCGGTTGATCCTCTGCTCTCTGACTCAGAGTAGATGCAGCAGGGAAGTGTGGCTCTGGGAGGGAGTGGGTTTTAAGAGTTTTGAATTTTTTTTTTTTTCTGTATTGACAAAAAATTATTTTTGCTCTCACTTTACTCTTTGTTCTCCTGCGTGAGCTAGGATCACTCAGGTATGGGGACTAAGGTGGATTCACCCCTGAGGCTTTAAACTTTGGGTGGTAGTAGGAGATCAGGACTGACATCTTTCTGTATGCAAGTGAAAATTGGACAGATGGATGCTTGGGAGTGAGGCTATCCCATGTAGTAACCTTCACAGCAGGGAAAAGACATGCTTTAAAGACCCAGTCAAGATACATTTTTTTTTTCTTTCTTTTTTTTTTTTTTTAAATCAGCCTAATACCTCTTAGAGTCTGAACTGGGTGCTGCTGCTGGTTGAAACCTCTGTCTTGCTTTTCTGTGGGGCAGTCTTGCAACAGCTTTCCAAAAGTTGTGGAAAAGCCATAGCTGCCGTGGGTTGGGGTTTCCCATCTTGAATTGTGCTGCTCTTGCATGTGCCAGGCCTGTGCCTTAGCATGGTCAGCCCAGGGAGCCTTCAGGGATGGAGAGCTTCAACTTATGGGCAGAAGTGATAAGGTGGTGTCTCTCTGCTGTGAAAATCAATATGTTCCTATACACAGTGTGGTCAACTTGCCGGCTGGTGTTGAGATGTGTCCTCACAGGTCTGGGCGGGGGGGAAAGCCTCCATAACTTCTTTTTAGAATAATTTTGATGTATGAGTATTCTGCCCTGCCTCATCTCCTCCCTTGCACAGTTGAACTGTTTGGGCTTGTGCAGTATACCACATCTGTAAATGGGGCCAACTTTTAAAATAGCATTTTCTTCACAAATTGAGTTTTAACCTGGATTGATTCCCTCTGGTGTTTCAGTGTATAGCCCGTGGGGTAGGGGTATGTTCTGGGGACGAGGGAAGAGTGAGGGATGGGAACTGCTGTGGAAGAAGCAACATGATGCTGTGCCTGGTTGGGGCTGTATATCTCTGTGCGGGTAAAGGCAATGGGAGCTTGCATTCCCTGGGAATTCTGACAGGGGAACAAAATTTAGAGGGTCCTGCTTGTAATAGGTGCTCTTCTTTTTGGGGATGGAGGAAGCATCCGTGATTCCTCCCAAACCTGGGACAAATGGGAAAGCCAGCAGTGGGAAAGTGATTACAGAGTATTTGCTCCCATAACAGCTGGGATAGGGAGCTAATGGCTCTGGCAGAGACTTTATAAATACCTGGTGGGTAGCCTAGATGAGAGTGCAGGATTAATTGAAATGCCAGATGATCTTGTCTGCCAATATACAGCTTCTCTAAACACAGGTTGCACTGGTTTAACTGCAGTTGCTTAAACAAGCAAACCCCATTGATCCTAAATTGATCTGTTCCCCTAAAAAAGAATAATCCTTGTCCTTCTTACCTGGCTATTTTTATATGAAACATAGAAAGGATTTAATTACCTTTTTCACTTTGTCACTGAAGTATAGTGTTTGAATTCACCCTAGCATTCCTTGTCCAGAAGCAGGGGACACAGGAAGGAATTCCCCCGTGTTGGTGAACCTTGCAGCTGTGCTTGGAAAGATGCAGGAAAGGGCTGTAATGATCACTCTGCTCTAAGCCCCCGCTTCTCTTGTGGCTGTTGCTCGGAAATAACCATTTCAATATGCTTCCAAATTTTGAGCAAGCTCTTAAGCTCTTCCTTGTTATGTCATGTAGCAAGAGTATTTGTGCCGTGTGTATTTATGATGGGGTCAACACTGTCTGCTTTGTGTGCAGGGGACAGTAAACGTTGGGGGCTGTGGGTGTGAGAAGAAGATGCGTGGGTGCTGGATGGTGAAGGAGCTGTGTGGCAGGCTAAGTCACCTCTGACATTAGGGAAGGAGTGTGGGCCTCTGGGGATGTTTGAGGAACACACCCCTGCCCCTTGCCTTTCTATGTGTGGTGACCTTTCGGTGCTTCTGTCCCTTGTAGAAAAGCATGAGTTTTAACTTAACCCTACTGCATGCCTTGCACTGGCTTCTACCTCTGTCGAGGAGCAAGGGCTGACGGTGGCAGGGGTGGGCTTGGATGGAGTGGAGAGATGTTGCGGGAGTACCGGGGGTGCTGCTTCACACCCAGTAAGTGCAGCGTAACTTGGCTGGTTGTTGCTACTGAGAGGCTGGAGGGAGGCAGGCGGGCAGAGGGGAAGGAACGGGGCAGAAGGGGGTCTGGCGGTTACAGGAAGCCTGGCATCTGCAGGGGGTTCTTGTCGTGGGTGTAAGGCCCAGGGAGTGGTTTACCCCAGCTCACAGGGAGGGGATGTGAGTCTGGAGGGAGGTAGCTCCTAATCCAAGGCACTCCTTTTGCAAAGGGGGGCACCTGGGGCAGGGAGTGATGATGGAGGGCAAAGAACACAATTGCTGTGATGGAGGATGAGGAACACGTTTTACTAACCTCACTTGGGTGCCATGAGGTACTATGGGACCTTGGTGCTCCCTCTGCAATGCCCCAAAATATAACTTGTGGGTTTTAAAGGTGGGGGGTGGATCTTCACCCACCTTACTGTGGGTGAGCAGAGCCAGCAGTGCTCTGCTCCTGAAAGGGACAGCTGGGCTGGGATGTGTGCCTGACCTATCAGGGAGGAGGTTCAGCCTGCTGAACTAGGAGAAAACATTACCCTTTTCCTCAGGTGGGTTTTGCCAGTTCAGTGAGTGAGACTGTGGTAAAGCCAGGCTGACAATTTGCCTGGTGTTAAGTCTCGCTGGCAGAATTTGGGCATCAGGCTCCTGAACTGTGGTGGCCTACTTGGGTTTTGGGTGGAAAGTGCTTAACTTCCTGGAGGCCTCACTGTCTTTGAGTATTTTTATGGGATGAGAATGTGCTTTTCAGTGTAGTGCAAAGTGAGGAGAGAGAGACTTTCTTTTGGTGTTTTGAACCCTATGCTAGACTTTAGAGTGGGACAGACCATCCTGGACAGGGAGAGTGAGGAGCAAAATTTGATAAAGGGTGAGACTTAAGGTTGCCTCTTCCTATGGATTCCGGACCTAGAGTTGTAATGAGGGGGAAAGTAAAATTTAATCCTCTATGCTTCAAGACTTTTTTTTTTTTTTCTGGTCAAGTTGTAATTTTAAATTCAGACACCTTTCATGTTCTGTGTATAGACCTGGTCTCCACCCTCATCTCTCACCACCAGAGGCTGTTGTCTCTTCTCACTCCTGTTTTTCTGCCCAGTGTAGAAAGTAATGAACATGCACAGTGCACAAAATATCTTGTATGTGCAGTTGCTAACCTTATTTATAAAAACAAACCACGAACTGTGTGAAAGATAATCATGGTGTTTGTCATGAAAAAAAATTGCAATTTCAATGTAAATATGTTGGTGGTAACTGGTTATTTTTAATATGTGTTATTTGTGCTTTAAATTTAATGTTAAAATATTTTTGTCGTCTAAACCCTGACTGTTTTTAGCTGAGCAGATTTTAGGTTAAAAACAGCAGTCAAACCATGAGCGTTCATAGCATTGTAATGTAATTTTGTGTTACTAGAACTTTTCTGACCTGTTTGTTTAGTGCATCATGAAGTGGTGGTTATACATCTAATTGCACAGCGCAGAGAAAATAGCATTGTGTTGAAATATTGCATAAAACTTCAGTGTTATGTGACATTTTGTAGTGGAAGTAGTACTGTAGGCACTCATTCATAACAAGACCTGCAGGTTTCTCTCAGCCAGTGCAAGTGGTTGAGCTGGCTGTGTGCGTGCTGACTCAGCAGAGCAAGTTTCTTTCTCTTCTCCTCCTCCTCCTCTGGACTGCTTGTGACCGAAGAACAGCAGATTCACAAGAACTTGCTGCTGAGACATACCTTAGCTTGAGGTTGCTCTTTCAAACTGTGCAGTTGTGGTTCTTCACTTGAGACTTTCAGAGCTGTCCTGCCAGCCAGCTGTTAAGTTGGTTAAAAATGGTCTTGCTTTTTGAGCGTGGGTGCGTGTATGCAGCATGTGAGCGCACAAGAATTTCTCTGGAGTGGTTGAGCAGAGGACCTGATTCTGTCCTGGAGGACCCAGTGCCACCTGGGTGGGCATTCCTGTCTGTATGGGGAATGGAGACGTAGAAGGGCTGCTGGGACGGGAGGAGGCGCTCAGAAGTGAAATCTGGGGAGGTTAGTGCATGTGTCTACCCTGCAGTGTTATTCTAGCTGCACAGTACAGTCTCATGATGTCAATGGCTTGGAGCCTGCTGCCTGGGCCTAGCTCCTCCCTTTTTCATTTAATGATGTCTGGAAGAAAAATAATCAAGTATGCTGGAAGAGAAAAACATTAATTAACTTTTAATTTAGATCTAACGTATGCTGCTTAGTGTACTGCATGAAAGAGGGAGTGTGCGGTATCTGTCATGTTATATAGGGGGTGATGCATTGAAAAAACAAGGAAAAGCCTCAGGTCTGAATGGGAAGATGGCGTTTTAACTCTGCAGATGGGTTCTGTATCTTGATTAAAAGCTGCAGGTGTGTGATAAGTCACTTTTTTATCCATTTTGCATCTGAAATGACTTTCTCTGTAACTTGGTTTTTATCTGTTTTCTTTTAAGCCAAACTCGCAAGGCGAAGTCAGGAGAGAGAGAATCTTGGCATGCTGGTCTGGTCACCTAACCAGAATCTGTCTGAAGCAAAATGTAAGTCTCTTCAGATGCTTCTATTCCCCCTTTCCCTTACATGTATCACTTCTAAGAATGCAAAGTTGCCACTTTCAGTAGAGGGGTTATGTCTGTGACCTTTCCATTACAATTTGAAATTCATTTGAGAAAAGAAAAGCCTACAAAGCAGTCCTGCAGAAGAGCTTTGTTCCCCACTGGGCAGATTCTCAGAGTGTCAAATTCACGGAGTCAGGGAAAGCAGGAGAAATACGACACACTTTCTTCCTTGATACGAATTCTTTAAGATACTTATCCATGGGCCTACACGATCTGCTTTTTTTGCTGCTGGTGCTGTAGAAGATGTCAGAAGTAACTGGAGATAGGAAAATGAGAAGTATTTGAGGAGGGGAAATATATGGTAATTAGTAGTACCTTTTTTCCCACAAAGACACAAATAAAATCCACATCTGGAGCCCATGGATGTTTAAATGCCAGAACAATTGCAGTGCCTTGGAATTCCACGTGAGGGCAATTACCAGTGCTCTGTGTGTGTCTGGGAACAAGTCTTAGTGCTGCTGCCAGATGGCAGAACTAGTGTTTGAAGGTTTGTCTAGCTACAGTTCTCCTCATGAATAAGTAGGACTCCTTGATTAAAGGGCTGCTGTTTGAATGCAGTAACTAAACCTAAGTGCTTTTGGGGGAGGGAGATGAAAGGAGCTATTTTTGGCTTTGTGCTTGTACCTATTTTTTTCTCCTTTCTGATTCTGGGACCAAGAATAAGAATCTTGCATTCCTGTTCCTCTGCAGTTGTTTGTGGTGGCACTATTAAGTTGATACCTGTTTTTTCCCTAGACCCAAGGGCTAAGATGCATCACAGGACACTTTCGAGGATGTAGTGGCATTTGCAAATTAAGGCAGCAGAGAATGTGCACAAACTGGCTCTGTCATGAAAGGGCTGGGCTCTGCCCTGGGGCATTTGTTCCACTGAGCAGGTTGCCCCTTAAATTACAGAAGGATGATGGTACTGTGATCTACAGATAAAAAGGGCTTTGCAAGGATCATGTCTGCCTTCTCTCCTGCCAGTGGTGTCTTGTCTGCTCCCTGCTGGCTATTGGTTGCTGAACTAAGTAAGACTGACGAGTGGGATGTATTTGATTGTTATCTACAGCTAGAAACCTATAAAAAAGGTATAAGAGCAAGAAACTTGCCTCCACCAAAAGGAACAACTCTTCATGGGTCATCTGTGACACAGAGGGTTCCTGTAGCTGCCTCTCAAGTCTGAGAGTCTTTTAAATATCAGTTCAGCTTTGGAACATTTAACTCCTGCCTGATAGGAAACAGGTTTCTTGGAGGGGGAAGAGAGGATGGTGGAGGAAAAAGAGTGAAGATATGTGGAACTGAGTAAAATAATCTGTGAGTGAGTATTCTGTTGCAATAGGCACAAAAATATGCAAGGATATTGAGCATAAAAGGGGTATAATATCTGCTAAGATGATGTCATGAACCTAAGAGGTAATTAAAAATGTAGTATGACATTGATGAATAAAAACTAGGTGGCAGTTAATTGTTGCTGGTACAATAAAAAAGTTGGGGAAAACAATATGAATATAAGAAGAGGACAAGAAGAAATTTCTCAAAAGACTCAACATTTTATTAAGAGTGTAGGCTTACCAGTAATTTCACCCTCCAAAAAAGATACAGGAAAAAAAAAAAAATATTTTGTATGGTGTTTGGGGGAGAGAAGTATGATGGTCTTGTGTTATGACACATGAAATATCTCCCAAGTGCCTAATTGGTATAGAGGGATGGAGTTGTGAAATTCAGTAGTAGTAAAAGGGAGAGGTGGGCTCGGGGACCTTGGGGTTGCAGGAAAACTCCAGCAGATGGTGAGAGGGCAACTGTGCAGAGTGAGAGAGGAGGGTAAGAGTGGGCTGGTTGGTCACTGCTTTGTCCTGTGTCAATTTGAGCTGACAGTACTGAAAAGTGTCAGTTATTCCTGTCTCTACCTGGCATTACTTAGAAATGAGCTGTGAAAACCAAATCCTGCTGACAGCAGCTGCTTTTGTTCTTTTTGAGACTAGAAATGGATTGATTGGTAGAAATAACTTTATAGCTCTAATGTATTCAGCCAGCTGTTAAGCATTGATTGCATGAGAGTCTGATTCAATTCCCCTTCCTTTCAAAAGATGGGAATATCCTCCAAAATACCAGTGCTCTGCAATGGCTGTACAGCACTTACTAAATGTGTTACAAGCAGAGTTCCCTGATCCGCTTTATGATGGAAGAACATGAGGGGACATGAGGTCTCTCTCTTCAAGTTCACTGACAAGTCCTGGCATTGTTGATAGTGAATCCTAATTAAATGGGGTCCATGGAGATCTGTAAGAGGACTGATAATGATCAACATTTCCATCGGTGATGTGGGAATTGATACGGAATTGCTGTGGAGAGAAATTGAGGATGAGCCATAGACTGACAGGATGGTAAATAAAATGAATGCTACTGATAATTTTGTAGAGTGCTTTGGGTCTTTTCATAACTTGGACTGATGCCATTACAGTGGGCTCTTAATGACCCAACTTCAGGGTTATGAATCTCAGTACTGAAGGGTCTGGCCTTGTGCATCAAGTTTGCAAAGAAGTGACTTGGAGAGCAATTTTGGGGATGCAGTGGGCAGGTAATACAACAAAGCTTCCCAGTGTTCAGCTTGACCCAATGGATGATGTGAGTGTAAAGAGTGAAGTAGTCACTGGAACAGTTTGTTGCCTCTGCACCCAGAAACAGTCAGGAAAATGATCCTCAAAATAGTGTCTTTAGTGTTGAAAAACTGAGAAAAGGATGGAGATGGGAGCTACTGAAATGTTTTGGAAACTGAAGCTGAAGCAAACTCCATCTGTTTAGCTTACTGAAAGAGACTGAAAGGGGACTACTGTAAATTATTTTCTCAAAGGGAAATTTTGACATAGTAAGAGACATCCATAATACAAATAGATGGCTGCAAAAAAAATCCACATGGACTGAAATGAAATGCCTGAGTGTGTGGGGGTTTGTTTGTGATTGACTATTGGAAGTTATCCAGGGAAGTGATGGATTCTCTAGTTCTTGATGCCTTTTTAAACCATGGATTTTTGTAATGCATGTTATCCTGGGGCGGGGGGGAATCATTGGCAGTGTGAAATTGCAAGTGGAAGGAGCTTTGGTCTCCAGGAGGTTGGTGTAGCCCTTGGGCTGCAAGTACTGTGAATCCCAGTTAGCACATCCATTGTTAATATTGCTGTTCAGGTTGAAGTGTGGGTGAACAAATCCTTCCAATCAGTAGCATGTTGCTACCTGTGTCTAGTTACTCCAAAGCCTTTAATCAATCCTGTGTCTGTTCTTGTAGTGAGCTCTTTAAAAAGTCACAGGACTTTTCTCTGTTCCTGTGGCCGGGGCTCAATGTGAAGAAGGAAGTTTGTGCAGCACGTGTTCGCTGTCAGCTTGGAGTGAACTGGTAGCTCTTGTGAGCAGGACAGTTCTGTGCAATGAGTGAAACTCTTGGAAGCCACCTCCGTTAAAGGTGAATCCGTGCTACAAAGCACTGAACAGATCTGGGACAATGCTCAGAGTAATGCGTGCTGATGGATTTGACAGAGGACTGGCCAAACTGGTGGAGGTTATGGGAGGGTCCTCTCTAAGCTGCTGAAATGAATCCTGGAAAGACCAGTGTGTCAGCCACGACCTGGTGCATATCTGCATACCTGATGCTCTAGGCTTGTACAGTTAGTTAAAGCTTGTTTAGGTCCCGTGCATCCTATATGCTGGATCAGTGTTTTAATCATGTTGGAGAAGCCTATTGCCTGAATGCAATGGAGTGATGGATGTGGTAGAGAAGATTAAAACAAACAAAAGTATGTGGTGGCACATGGATCACTTTTTTTATCCTGTGCCTCATTAACCATTAATCCTGGGTACAAACAACTTACAGCCTTGCCCATATTCATACCAAAGTTGAATGCTGCCAGCATGTTCCATATCTACTGCCAGACTTCTGCCTTTGAGGGATTACCTGCATAGAAGTTGCCACCGTTAGGGAGCAGTTCACAAAGCCCAAAGCTAGAATTTTGTCCTGTCTCTTTTGGAGAAGAAGGAAATAATTGTCATTGTGCCGTAACTGGACGTTTGAACTTAAAATAACTGTGCTCCCCTTCCAGCTGTGCTCCAAATACCCTGTGTGCTGTGGCCGGTGTTGCACCTCTTACAAAGAGCTTGCTTTCAAAATGAGACTCCTGAGAGGCTCTCAGAGGACTTGGTGCCATGGAGGGCAACTGTTCTGACTGTGTTGGGACTCTGTCGCAGGGGGTGGGGAAGGAGACAGGGAGAGTGAGGTCTTGAGCAAGGTGACATAGAGGAGCAGGAAGACAGGCATCCGCTCTCTTTGAGCGGCACGTTGGGAAGGAGGGGGGAAAAGTGAAAAATGCATTGTAACGATGCTGTGGAAACCCTGCACAGGATAGAGCTGGGCCAGCATGAAGCTATTAAAAAACCAGCAGTGTATCTGTCTGTGCCAAGTACGCCAATGGGTGGAACCATAAAAATGACACTGGGTTGGTTTAGAGATGAGCAAGTGCTGGCATGCTGCAGCTGCCCAGGAACGAGGGATGGAAACCAGGCAAGAGGATAGGATGTGATGATTTCTTTTATGTATCTGCACTTCAAAGGTGAACTACAAGAGGGGAAAGATGTATTCTTTTCCCAGTGATAAGCTCTGTTTTGAAAGTAATTTTTTTGCTCTCTTCCTGACAGAGTATATGTCTGCTAGATCAGAGTTTTTGTTTATCACCAATGTCTTGGTGGGTGTCCCCCAGTGGATTTGCAAGTTATGGGGTGTCACTGCAGAGACAAGTGCTGTCCCTAATACCCATGGGACAGTGGGTTGTGGATGGCAGCTGGGTCCCCTGGTCTTGCAGTGCTGTTTCTGTTTGACCTGATGGTTGATCAGCATGCCAACTTTGGACTCTCACCAGCCTCTCCCTCCATTACCCTGTGGTATCCCTTCCTGC